AAAAATATTTTTCAATTATTATACATATTGATAGAATACAGTGTGGCAATTAGATACATTTACATAATAATTTTCCCCACAATTTTACCAAACATTTTAATTAACTGACTTAAGCTAAACTGTGGAATAGCATCCTTAGTAACAAAAACACAAACATTTAATGTTCATTTGGGCAGGAAGGTGAACAACTGCACTGGATCTTTATTATTTAAACAAACACATTAAAGTAAAAGACGAAATATTTGGTAACAATTAGATTTAACCATCAAGATGGTGTGGCATAAATTATTAACATCTGGGAGCACAAGTCATAAAAGTTTGTGACTACATAGTTAAAATAATTTAATTGTATGAACTTAAGTTTCATTAAAACCAGAAAAGTATTTTTAAAGAGGATTCTGTTGTCATTAAAGGGAATCAAATTTTCTAACACTCAATGTATGTATATTAAGATAAAAATGTATTTTCACCTAACTAGCTGCATAAACTCTGCCATATATCTTTCTTGCTGAAACTCTGTTTTCATCTGGAAAATGGCAATGATGATATTACTTATCTCACTGGATATTGTAGAGTAAATGAGAGGACATGTAGAAAGTGCTGAGAGATTATTGGTAACCTTCTCCACTCAGCACTTAAAATGATTTGTCTAAACAGCAACAGAATCTTGAATAAACCTAATGGCTCTTGAGTTTTCCAGACAGATGACCTGCACCAGTGGGTCTCTTTGAAAATTTGTAGAAATGCAAGTAACCTGACCCCAAATTCAGAGAACCTAATTTAGCATGCTTATTATTGAAATTTATTATTACAGAAATAAGCAAATAAAAAATACAAATGTTCACCACTAATAACAGTGGCTTTTTTTAAACTACTTCTAACATTGAGCAATCTTGTTGATTATAATCTGAGATGTAGGTAACAAACAGGTAAAAATGATCCATAGTTGCATGTTAACTTTTACTTTTAGACTACTGAAGATTTTCTGTTATACCTAATGTCAGACCAATTTTCCTGACTTATTTCAAAGTCAGGATGCTGTCACTCTAAAGATCATTAATCCCTTATCATTTATGTAAATTCTAAAGAATTAAGATAAATTATTTACAACTCAAAGGTCATGTTTCATAGGGTTTATTGCCCT